AAAGCAATAGAGATTGCTTTGGAATCGATGCGTCAATTTAGAAGCAATGATTCGTGCTTGGTATAGCATGTTTCGTGCTTCATTACTAAGCACTGATTCGTGCTTCAATTTCGGAAGCACTGATTCGGGTTTGTGGCCTTTCGGTCAAAACCGAATGGATTCGTGAGGGCTAATCTGTTAGCACCTACGAGATGTGTTAGCGTGTAACACATGTTTATTCTTTAAAGAATAAAAAGGGAAAAACCAAATTAATCGTGGATTAATGTGGTTATGAACGATCGATGTGGTGAACGTGAAACACCTATTGGTGATTTCGGCGCAAGCGATGGTATTGTACTCGAGAGTACGGTACGGTATTCACCTCAATCGAACGTTTTTGCCGAACATAAATATCAAGACGTTGATATGTTCGGGTCTACCTCAAAGTATGTGAGGCGAGACAATTCTTTGGACAAGTGAGTACCTTTTAAATAAGGTTACCCGCATGAAATTCTTACGAATTGTGGGTACGTAGGAAGTTTCCTACTAATGCCTGAAATGTGGGGGTGTCTTGCCAAAGTTGTGTATTGGTTCTTAGTACACGAGTCCAAGAGTTTGGATGTACATACGAACACGAAAGATTGATTCAAGAAATTCATCGTTCTTGGAAGATGTATTTTTGTGAAGGATCAATAAAGGACCTAGCACGTTGAAAGGAACTTTCGGCGTAGCTATGGTTGAAGGGTATGAAAGAGAACCCGAGCTCAAAGCTAGACGTAGCAAGAGAGCTAGGATTGAAAAATCCTTTGGTCCATATTTTCTGACGTACATGTTAGAGTGTGATGCGCACAATCTAACTTGTTTACTAGAAAAGAAATTGGATTTTCTGACATGGTTGTTAGAAAATGAGCCTCTCACATATGTAGAAGTGGTGACTTCTACAGGTGGACCAACCCGAGAGAGGCTATCGAGAGTGAAGTAGATTCTATCTTAAAGAATCACACTTGGAACTGGTTGTTCTTCCTCCGAGTTGTAAAACCTTTGGATCCTAAGTGGATCACTAACCGGAAGACAAAACCGGTTGGTTATATTGAAGTAAAATGGTCAGGCTTGTAATTGTAGATTACATGCAACGCGAGTGCCACAGCTACTTCAATATATATTCTCTTGTGATGAGAATTGGCTCCATTAGAATGATACTTGCCAAAGCCGTTTAGCGAGACTTGGAAGTTCATCAAAATGGATGTGTCGCTTTCTTAGTATACATGGAACGACCTGAGGGTTTGTGATTCCACGATGTGAAAAGAAAGTGTGTAATTGGTGAGATCATTGTATTGTTCGAAACAATTGCCTTAGTGTGGCATGTGAGGTTTTGATCGTGCAATGATGACCAACGAGTTTAGTATAAATAAAAGTGACAAGTGGGTCTACGTAACATATACGATAGACGGTGAAATCACTGTTTGTTTATACACGATAAACTCAACGTGGGTAGTAACGATCAAATGATCAATTCTACCAGGAACATGTTAAATTCGAGATTTGACATGAGAGGTGTGAGTTTGGCAGATTTAATCTTTGAGATTAAAATTGTGAGAAGACCGTATGGTCTCGTGTTAAGCCAATTTCATTGTGTTGATTAAATCCTTGCAAAGGATGTTAATCAAGTGGCTTGGACACTGTTAGATACTAACGTACAACTAGCCAATAATCACGAGTATTGTACTTCTCATGGAGAATACATTCAGATTATTGGTAGTTTAATTGTATCCAATGGGTTGTACTAGGTCGGACATTGCCTTTGCGGTTAACGAACTCGGTAGACATACGAGTAACCCTAGTGTTACGCACTAGAAGGCAATAGTGGAAGTTATGAGATACTTATGTATGCTTATGACTTTGGACTGCACAACGTGGGATATCTAGCCGTACTTGGAAAGTATAGCACGGATATCAAAGGACGCTAAGTCCATCAAAAGCTACGTCTTTACATAGGCCAGTGCAGTCGGTTGAACGGAAATTCTCGAAATGATTTTGTGATAGCTAAGATCCGACGGGATCAAAGCTGAGAGCCTTACACTCGTGTCGCGAGCGAGTAGGCCGAATGGCTAAGCCATTATTTCGAGAATGGTCCTAGTGGTGAACTCATACTTCCAATTTGTGTGCATTGCGATAGTCAAGACAAAATTGGTCAAGTACAGAGTTAAATGTGGAATGGTAAGTCTAGACTTATAAGTCGTAGATATAATACCATTAAACAATTTCTCACAACGGGGGTTATCTCTATTGACTACGTGATGTCAAAAGATAACGTAGCGGCCGCTAACTCGCTAACCCGAGGGTAAGCAAATGGTTGTTGAGAAATTGGAACGAGGAATGGGTCTAAAGCCCTTGGACTAAAAGTTCTATAGTGAATACCCAACCTAGCTGGCACCTAGGTTCAATGGGACAACTAAATTATGGAACGGAGCGTGTCACTGTGGGGGTCTCGGACTCCCTACCACTCCTCGTTAGAAACAGTGACTCCCGCACGAGGCTAGCATGTTGATGCTTTAATGATTCTTGAGTATGCGGGATACTCGAGAAAGAATCACCTATGTAAGAGAGAAGTGAGGGTCGCTTCAAAGGAGAATTGTTGGGCACAATTCTTTAGAAACTCTCGCAGAACCAGGAACGGTGACCCACGACCAAAATGGGCCACACTCATGAGAACAGAGCATGGTTGGAAGGTTCCTGTGTGAGATATGTCATCGTCTACACAAACGGCAGTCGGTTCAAAGACATCGCGTTCTACCGAACAGCTAGTAGAGTAAACATTTCTTCACAAGGGAAGGTTCAAAGGGTATAGTGACTCCCTACCTATCCTATGCAGGGATCGACCGTTTGAACACAGTTGTTTCCAATTTCAAAATACCCCGAAAATCAATTTTTCATTCATGTGGGGGATTGTTGGAAAAATAACATTAAAATGGCATTTTAAGTGGCTATTTTGTGGTACAATTATCAGTGGGGTCCACTTCCGATTTGGGTCGGGTCAAAGTGGATTCGGGTTCTTCGTAGTGAGACGAAGAGATTGAGATATTGTACGCACAAAAACGGATAATGGGTGAATGAGATATTGATTCTCAAAGTAGACCCATTTGAGTTGGAAAATGAAGGGAAAAAGTGAGCTTTTGTCCCACATTGGTTTGGGAAGAGGATTTGTCCCACTATTTATACAAGAGCTCTTTTTAAGCATATTGAATTGTATAGTATAGAGACTTTCTCTCGCGCGCGGAAGGGGGTACAAATCAAATCCCAGAATGAGATCGAAAAGGCTTGGGTCAAGCCTAATCTCGTGTGCGGAGTCTCAACATCATTTTCCAACTCTTTCGTGTGGCCACCACGAAATGAAACATTTGTTTCATATTTCGTGGTGCACGAAGTGAAATGGTTTCACAATTTCGTGGGGGCCACACGAAATGAAAAAAATAAACATTTGTTTCATATTTCGTGGTGCACGAAGTGAAATGTTTCACAATTTTGTGGGGCCACACGAAATGAAAAAAATGAAACATTTGTTTCAAATTCGTGGTGGTTTCACTAGCCCACGAAATGAAACTTTGTTTCACTTCTTTTGTTTCACTTCTTTCGTGTAACACTTTGGTTTCGTATGAAACTGGAGTTTCAGGTGTGGCCGAAATTGAAGTTTCGGCTATGGCCGAAACATGGGACAACATGGGTTCGGCCTTGGGGGCCGAACCAGCAACTGGCTTTTTGCCTTCTGCTTTTAGATCGTTGTGAGATTAAATTCAACCGTTACGGAATTAAATCCTCTATTAATTCCAATGTTCAATATCTGAATTTAAATCTTGGATAATGCCATGTTGTTTCAAGAGTTACAAAATTGGTTTTAAAACCAATTTAAATGCCATGATGAATGCTATTCATTCTTTGATCCCTATATAAGAGGGGGTAGAGGGAGCAGATTTAGACAAGCACATAGTGACAAAAACACACAACACAGGAAGTGTTTTCTCTCCTCAAAACTCTGCTTCTACTCCTTTCTTAAGCCGAACTGTGTTCAAGGCTGTTGCTCTAGTTCGCCGGGTTCGTTCGTTTGGGTGCTCAAACGTCGAACCGTAGCGCGTTTTATCCTGGGAAACCTAAGCCACGGCGCTCCTAGCACTCGTGGAGGTGGCAAATAAGGTTTTAAGGAAAGAGTGGTCTCTTGACTCACGCTAAAAACCCTTACCCAAACACGAGCCAATCTTTCCTTCTTTCGGTTTTGGATTATGCTTCTAAGCAAAATCCTCCTTTTACGTTATAGTTTGGTTGGAATTATAATCTGTGTATTATAAATTCCCATTTGGTTGATATGCGTATATCTTCTCCGTAGATACTCATGCATATAATCATGGTGGTCTGATTTATATATATATTTGTGTGTGTATATATATATATATATATATATATATATATATATATTTCGGATATAATATATCGAATAATATTTTATATACTTCGTGTGTGTATATATAAATATTATTTTACGATCACTAGTACAAAACTAGACATAGAAGATTGACCATAGGCCACCATTGTTGAAGAATGGTTGCCTAATCTTAGCTCAAAAATTGCGGTGACAATTTTGTAAATAAGTGATCAATAATCCGCTACCATTTTAGCTGTAATGGTTGCCCATTGTATTTTCTATGTATTAACAAAAATAAAAAATAAATACTTTATAATCCGCAACCATTTCTAAGAGAAACAATGGCTATGTCAACTCACTTTTTTTTTCCTTATTTTTCCTCTCTCCGTATCGCTCCACTCTCGTTTATTTCTCTCAGCTCACGGCCTCACGCCTTCTCTTCTCTCGACGACGACTTGGTGGCGGCGTTGCGACGGATGGTAAGAGGGCGGCGATGACAGCGACTGTCCGGCGTAGGAAGTCTTCTGCGGCGTAGGACGAGAGATCTGCGACGGAGGATGAGAGGCTACAACGGAAGGTGAGAGGCCGGCGATGACAGCGACGGTCGGCGTAGGAGGTCTTCTTGCAGCGTAGGGGGAGATCTGCGGCCTTCTTCTCGCTTCTGCGGCGTAGGGGGAGAGATGCAGAGGCAGGTTCAACTTGAAGTCAGTCAGATGAAAGGGCAGTGGTAATTTTTTTTCTCTAGAATAATTGTTTTTTTTTTTTTTTTTTTTTTTTTTTTTTGCTAGCTTTGTCAATTTCTCAATTTATTTTGAATAGTGAAAAATTCCTACCAGATGAGAACATACAGGAACTAACTCCATGTTGTTGGATTTCCTCAATGGCTCAATTAGGTTTTAAACTGTGATTTTTTTTTTTTCCTTTCCATTGTCTCTGCTTGAGTGATAATACCTATGGAAGCATAATTTCCCAATTTCTTCCTCTTTCACAGAGATGTCTTCCACAGGATGGTTTGGATGAGCACTTTGCCATAATTAATGGGTTGAAAAGTGTGTTTTTCTATCCACCGAAATTTAGTGTAAGTGTGTTACTAAACTTTTTTCTTTTTGCTGTGAAAAGTTGTGTATCTTATATACTGGCATACTGCTGTGTCTATAATGTGAATTCTGCTATTGAAATAAATGGTCAAGCCTATTATAGTTCTTGGGGAGTTAGTTATAGGATCAGGCTGCTATAATTACGTTAACAACATAAACACTAGAGCAGTTCTATGTAGGCAGTAAATATATAGGGTTAGGCTCTAAGTTATACAATCCAAATTTAATTCTGCAAGTGACTGTTTTCACACAAACAGGAATAAGTGGAAATTGACTACTCCTGGCCACCAACTAAAATGGGTTTATAGGAGTAATACATAAATAATTTCATTATTTTCTGCTATATTCCCTTATTCTTAGCGGTCAATCACCAGCTGAATCTTTGAAAAACTTTTAAGTTAGGAATGACTATTGCTTGTCGAAGTCCCTTAAAGGTAATTGTTCAATTAATTACATGTGTGATGTGTTATAAACTTATAATGCACCATAAAGATGCCATTCAGGCACAAACATGCAATGTGGGTAATCTACTATAATAACAAGTACTACTGTTATTTTCTAAATCCAAACCTTGACCAAACTCTAAGTTTCCTCTTTTTGCTGCCACTTTTTGTGAAGAACATTGTAACAACTACTTCTTAAACGTTTACAGGGTTCGATTCCATTATGGCCATCCTGATGTTTTTGATAGATTATTCCACTTAACAAGGGTGGAGTCAGCAAAGCTTCTAAATTTATCAATCTAAGTGAGGACATATTTGCTGGTAAGTTATACTAGATAGCTATTGTTTATGTTTTTGCTTCATTTATGATGCCATTTTTATTGTTTTCATTACTTTTGTAGGTTTCAATTCTACACTTCGTGAGGGCAATGTAACTCACCATGAATATATTCAAGTTGGTAAAGGGAGGGATGTGGGTCTTAATCAAATTTCTCTATTTGAAGCCAAGATAGCCAATGGTAATGGAGAGCAAACAGTGAGTCATGATTTATAAAGACTTGGCACCGACTTGACTTTTTCCGAATGCTATCGTGTTACTTCACTACTATTGGGTTCTACTTTAGCACATTGGTATGTTGGTACAGTTCTCTATTTATGTGTCATTTTTGTGTTATATTTATCTCAACCTTTGCCATTTCTTTGCAGATTACTGTCCTTATTGTTTATGTCTTCCTTTACGGACGCCTTTATCTTGTCTCAGTGGACTTGAAGAAGGACTTATTACCCAGCCAGCAATTCGTGACAATAAGTCTCTTCAAGTTGCTCTTGCTTCTCAATCCTTTGTTCAAATTGGGTTTTTAATGGCCCTTCCTATGATGATGGAAATTGGCTTAGAAAGGGGCTTTCGCACTGCACTTAGTGAATTTATACTCATGCAATTGCAGTTGGCTCTGTGTTCTTTACGTTTTCATTGGAACTAAGACTCATTATTATGGGAAGGACACTCCTTCATGGTGGAGC